CCTGTAAGAGAAATCAGAACGCGGGAACCGAACGGAAAATAATCGGAAAATAATGGTCGAAATCGAGAGAACGTAGAAAGTCGACAAATGAAAAGACGGGACCGAAAAGACCGAGTTTATCGAACCAAACTTTCCTAGCAAGTGACACCCGGCATTCTATTATTATCGCGGTCCTTCTCGCGCAATGCGGCAATAGCAGCCCGTATGTACTTCGGTCATTAGTATCGGCCGTGATGAGAGAATAGTGATAAACGTCCAACCACTTTGTGGGAAACTGGTGACCGTATCAGCGCGACGTCAAGCGCCACTCTACTGACCCCCGATAACCCGGTCCATCGTCGTATTGCTTGGCCAGAACCGCAGCTTCGTTTTACACCCGGAAGCTTTAATCTCAATTACACGCTGTTCAACGTCCCCCCGATATATTAATTGGAACGTCTCCGATTAAGGAACCGGGCCCGTCTATTTCTGCGCGCGCCGGGTAAATCGAATTTTCTGCGTCGCCTGTCTCCGAGCAATTGGTTACGGCGATTCCCTAATTCGCGCCGCTCGGATCACGCACCAAAATGGTAGACGGAGATTTCGATGTGCAGATGTTCAAGCTCCGCGACTCGTTTTTATAGTTGCTGATTTTGTCAACGACTATGAAAACAAGACGCGAGGTAGGAACGATCGTGTCTCGTCTTCCCGTACTGTCCATTTCCGCGCGCAATCTGGGCGCGAATTAGGGAGACATTTACTAAAAAAAAAAAAAATGATTCAGGGGAAATAAATTTACTAGTTTCGACGGATAACTGCTTCTGGCGTTGCAAGACCGTTTCATCGGAGTGATAGGAAGGAATGTCTACGCTTTTTTAGACAATCTATTCGACAATCATTTGACAAATTACCTTCCAATCCTGCTGATCACTTTTTCTCGACTGTACCCTCGACGATGTTTATAATCGTTCAGATCTTCACTTGGTCATTTTTCCGTACGTATTTTTCAAGATATTTCTAATCAGCCGACTAATCAGTAGACTGCGGATTATTTTTGTGACAGAGATAGGTGCACTGAATGTTCAATAGCTAAAAGAGTTTGAAGGTACTGTTATATTCTTTGCCACTTGCTAAAGTTAATAAGGGAAGAGACAAATCTCTGTGCAATACAGATTTCTTTTTGCCTAAGAAGTGCTGCGATCAATTTATTAGTTCCCAATATATTTGTTCAAATCGTCGATAATTGAGCAATTCCATGCACGATCTCCGGGTCAATGCGAAATATCTACCGAATTAGGGTATTTGCTAATAGGATTCAATCGATCCTATCTAGCACGATTTTTTCTTTCTTAATAGAAACCAGAAATTGCCGACGAAATACTGCCTACGAATTCTAAACTGAAATTAGCTTGGAAGATATATTTATTTGGGTTTCCAAGAAAAGAAGACATAATAATTGCTGCACAGATCAATCGTCGCTTATTAACCCCTTGAGTACAGGCTTGTTTGAACAAGTTCTTGCGTCTCGAACGTATTTGAATCGGTGTTGTAGTAGTTGTACCGTGGCAAATGTATTTATTTCATGTAATATATACAGATTAATAAAAAGTTGAACGATCAGTTTCAAATGACGAATAAGTCTCATCATCCGTAATTTAGAAAAGAAAAAATGTAGCTGCACCGTGACGAGTCCCATTCGTCATATGTACTCAAGGGTTTAACCATTCGGTTGAAGGTAATGATAATGGTTTAATTGCGCTACGGCGACATTTTGAATCGAACCGACTGAAAGGCCGTTTCGTTTCAAGATCGTCTTAAAAAGAAATCGTTTAGAAAGAAAGAAAAATAAGATCGAAAATTGCCTCGAAAAAATTCTAAGATACAGCCGATAAATTCAGCAAAGAATGATTCCGTCATATTTTGGGATCATTCTATGGGAAACACGTTCACGATACCGAAATCATATTCGTGTAAAAAATGAATTGTTCCTCGTAGAAACGTAGAGTTAGATTCAGAGGTAGAATCATTCTCGAGACGTCGATACGAGGAATTGTACATAGTATATATTTTTTTGACATATTCTTGAAGGCTTTTTTCAAAGGTTTTTGTCTTTGCTTGATTAATTGAATTGCATCAGCTATGTGGGAATTTTAGCGATCGATCGTCGGTGCTGAACGCGTCGAGAGATCAACGCCGACGCGATCGTCGGGAATTTCGATAGAAAATTGTTTCGGGTCACCTTTTCGACGCGACTGGTCCGAAGCACCGAGTTGCCTTAAAGAACGGAGAAGGCCGCCGCGTGATTCCTATGCTTGCGGTCGACGAGCCTCTCGTGCTCGTTTCACCGCGTGTCCGAAGCAGTTAACCTTGACGAAGTTCGTTGCTTTTGCGTACACGATGACCCCCGAAGGCTACCTGCGTATACGTTCCAAGCATGGCGGTCGCCTACGGAACTCCTTTTCTTTATACTTTTCTTTTCTCGTCGAAAAATGGCACCGAACAGCAGGGTACAGTAATGTCTCTCTTACTGACGCTCGGATCGTCCACGAAAGTGGACAATTCGGGAAGGGAAGATACGAATATTCCAGCTTTTAGGGTCGTTTTTACGGTCGTTGATTCTCAACAATCATAAAAACGGGCTAACAAGGCTCGAATAATCGCATCTGCTCTTCGCAAATTGTTCATTTTCGTGCGCAATCTAAGCGTCAATAAGGGAGACATTGCTGTATCGAGTTCTCTGCTTCGCGGAATACGGTAATGTCCCCTTATCGACGCTCGCATTGTCCACTGAAATGGGTAATTTCGGAAGAGCCTTGATTATTACGGTTATTCGAGCCTCGCGGCTTGTTTTTATAATTGTAGACAATTTATAAGAATAAACCGCAAGGCTCGAGCAATCGTATTTTTCTGCGCAGTCCGGGGCGTCAGTTAGAGAGACGTTACTGTTATTTGTTCATTCCACATTCATTCTTCATTCGTTGTTTATCATTACTCATCGTTATTACTATTATCTCGTTATTTGTGTGGATAACGAGTCGCGAATGCAACGCTTTCGCGATGTATCGGACAATGTTTCTTGAACGACCCGCCGTCGAAAGTCGCATAGCGCTGCTCGCAATCATTTTGCAGAAAATCTGATCGAAAAGCGAGTTCTCGCGGTTATTTAATAACCGGTTGTTCAGCAGCTCGTCAGCCTCGCGAGCCTATCGGTCGCGATCGATAACGCTCCGTCGAACGATTTCGCTCCGAGTCGAAGACGCTCAATTACGTCCACTAACTCGAGCAATAGCTTCGCTCCTTTAATCGCAGTCGTTTCAGTCTCTTTATAATCCGTCGTATCAGCGTCGTATCTGGCCGGCAGATGCGACACACTCGGCCCCGAAAGTCACGAGCGTAATTATGATAGCAGATCGTCGACGACGTCGCGCGGTGTTTCTATAACTGTTCGACCGACGGGGTGAAGTAATATTTCTTTTTTTCTCTGTAACGAAGTTGAAGTTGTAATTCATTATTTGAATAACATTAGGTATGTTATTCGATGCTGATTGAATTAAACGATGCCGAATTATCCGGCACGGAGATATTTTTCGCTTCTGCGATCACTGTAATTATACTGTAAAAATGGGGACACGATATTTAGTTTCTCTTTGTTGTTCAAATGTCGATTTAATTTCTCGTATATTAACCTTAGGCCCCGAAAGTCACGAGCGTAATTATGATGGTTTTTTATCGTCAACGTCGCGCGGTGTTTCAGCGTCCAAAATTCTGTAACTGTTCGACCAATAGGGGATGAAGTAACATTTCTTTTTTCTCTGTAACGGAACCGGAGTTGTAATTCATTATTTGAAATAATCTAATTGAATTACACGATGCTGAATTATCCGGCACGGAGATATTTTTCGCTTCTGTAATCACTGCAATTATACTGTAAAAATGGGGACACGATATTTAGTTTCTCTTTGTTGTTCAAATGTCGATTTAATTTCTCGTATATTAACCTTAGGCCCCGAAAGTCACGAGCGTAATTATGATGGTTTTTTATCGTCAACGTCGCGCGGTGTTTCAGCGTCCAAAATTCTGTAACTGTTCGACCAATAGGGGATGAAGTAACATTTCTTTTTTCTCTGTAACGGAACCGGAGTTGTAATTCATTATTTGAAATAATCTAATTGAATTACACGATGCTGAATTATCCGGCACGGAGATATTTTTCGCTTCTGTAATCACTGCAATTATACTGTAAAAATGGGGACACGATATTTAGCTTTTCTTTGTTGTTCAAATGTCGATTTAATTTCTCGTATATTAACCTTAGGCCCCGAAAGTCACGAGCGTAATTATGATAGCTGTTGGTTGTTGTCAACGTTGCGCGGTGTTCCAGCATCCAAAATTCTGTAACTGTTCGATCGACAGGGGTTGAAGTAACATTACTTTTTTCTCTGTAACGGAACCGGAATTGTAATTCATTATTTGAAATAATAATCTTCTGGAACTACACGATGCTAAATTAGCCGGCACGGAGATATTTGTCGCTTCTATAATTACTGTAATTATACTGTCAAATTAGGGGTACATTATATAGCCTTTCTTCGTTGTTAAAATTTCGTCGATTTAATGGCTCGAATACTGACCATAGACGATCTTAAGTCGAGGAATATTCATGTGGATATTATGTGGATATTGATATTCATGTGGACGGAAAAGCTTTGTTTAATTTTGCAGATGATAATAATGAAATTGTATATTCGTCTACTTGTACATTCGTCTCCGATCTGGTCTGATTTTTTTACAGCCCCCAAAATTGTTTTTGCTTAGGATCGCGATATGCTTCTTATAATTATGGATCAGAATTTCCGATACAAAAAATAATTTTCGATTCGTTTCGCGTTTCTTTTCACTGCGGCTTCACGAAATTCCCGAATCCTCTTCGGTCGAATTTCTTTGGACCGCGTTTACGATGCAGCGGCAGATATATTGTGACTTTGTTCGTTTGGAATTTTTATGGGAAACGTTGTCTTCGGTCGCACGAAATTCTTTCTTAGTTCCATCATGGTACAAAGATTCGAATATGCTCTTAATTTGGCAGTAAATTCCTTCAGGATCGATACTAAATGATTTCGGCAGGTTCTCGTATTCAACGCTATTTCTGTTTCCGCTTCCATTTTCTATCGAATAAACTCCATTTTTATCATCGTTATATAAACACAGCACCACGAACGTGAAAATATACATATATATATGAAATAGCAAGATAACGTGTTTCTGTTCTGAATTCGCTGCGGTAAATTATTCTAAAATAAGCTGAATAGACTACAAACAGGTGTATATAATCGATTCAAACGGCTCTGATATTTTAGATCGGTTAACAGAATACAGTGATTATCAAAATAGGAGTTATTTGTAAAAAAAAGTTCGGTATCTCTCTTTATTAAACGAACGATTTTACTGTTTCGGAAATGTCGAAGAAATTGATTTTTGCTCGCTGAATCTCATTTATTTGACCGACTGTTGCGTTCCGATTGTCGCGCACCTTTCAGCCGACACTTCCCTCAGGGTGGTGGTGTGCGTGTGTTTAAATCCTTGTGAATCGTTACACGGCGTAAATCAGTTATTATACGACCGAGGAACAGACGTTTCTAACGGCGACCGTCGATAGCCACTTAATTATACCGGCGCGTCTCGCGGGTCCTTGGAACACTCTTTTCATTGAAAAGCCACGGCGACTTCGAAGTCGGCGGTGTCGTTAATTCCGTACTTTTACTTTTAGTTTCTAAATTGCGAAGAAATAAACAAACGGCAACTTTTGCTGCCGACGAAATTTTCTTCCTTTTCCCTGCATATTATAACAACGATAACAATGACAGTAACAATGACGAAATTGCAAAGCAGAACTTTCTCTGTACCACGAAATTGTTTACTTTTTCCCGCATATGATACCAATAATAATAGTGTCGACGATGATAACGTTTATAATAGTAATTATGATAATGATAATAACTTCATTCGTTAGTAATAGTGTAGTAATAGTCACGCAGAGAACAATTTAATCCAAAAATTTGAAATTTAAAAGAAGAAGAAAGGCAGAAAGGAAGCAAAAAGGAAAAAGAAGAAATAGAAGAACAGAAACTTGACTGTAAACGAGAAAAGAAAAGAGAGAAAATCTTTAACATAAAAGTAGAAAAGAAAAAAGAGAAAAGCACCAACTTGAAATGAAAGAAAAAAAATGAAAAAGAGAGAAACGCACATATTTGAACATAAAATACTCGAAAAAGGAAACACGCATATTTTCGTTTTTCTATTACACATATATATCTGCAGATATCGATCAATTATTTGACAGCGGAGCCCGTTGTTCTGTCACACGATTGCCAACGTTCGACCGCAATGCAGACTAATAGTTCCGAATGTCCGATAACTGGGACAACCTTTGAAAAATTGGCATCCCCGGCGCAGTTATTAGCGTATCATTTTCAACAACTGCATATTTGATTTATCAGACTTCTATGGAGAACCGCGCGCAATTACAGGGATAAAAGAGAAACAGAACGATGCAAGCACTAGTTGCTTCATGGATCTGAACGAATAGGCAAACCAAGTAAATGTTCCATTATCCGAACAATTGTGTCACTTGGCTCGGAACAAATAATCGAGGTAACATCGAGTCTATGCTCCACTTAATTATCCCGAAAACGTGGTCCGAAGCAAAAGCGTCCGCTGCAATAACACCAGATCCAAAAATAGCTGCGAAACCAGTAACAAGACTACCAAACACATCAGAGACACACAACTAGGAATAACAGCGGCAATTTTGTCGAACGATTATATGCTGGCTTTGTATTCTTATCGTTGCTGCAAATCCGTGTCGCTTTTTCGAATTTCAAATTCTACAGTTTATTGTTGTCTTCGCGCAATTCTCAAAGACGCTATCATTTCTTTGTTTTGATTGCTAAAAGCTATAAGTTATAAGCAATTCTCAACGCTATCTACCAACTCGAGAAATAGCAACCGTAACTTTGCGAGCAATTATGCTGAACGTGTATCGCTGCTACTGCACATCCATTCGATCTCCCCGACCAATCTCAATTTTTCAAGATTCCTGAGTCGAATTGAGCGCTGCTCGCCGTCGACAAAGTAAATTCGGTGAATTGAGTGGCGGAATAAGTAATCACAATTGGGGCATTCGCAAAGTTGTTTCGTTCTAACATTTCTAAGTCGAAGGGACTCTCATTTTCTTTATTTCTGCTGCAATATTCAAAATGCCGGTGCCGTCTTGCTATTCGAGAAATGGCAACAGTAACTTTGCCGAGCAATTATGCAAACTATGCACCAATGATGCAAATTCAGTTGATTTCTACGACCGGTCCTTGAATTCTTACGTTTCTAAGTCGAAAGAAGCACTGTTTTCTTTTATCTCCTAGCAGTATTCAAAATGCCGATGCTGTCTTGCAATTCGAGAATTGGCAACAGTAACTTTGCCAAGCAATTACATTAACTTTGCATCAGTGCTGCTGCATTTTTCCATTCGATTTCATCGACCAATCCTAGAATTTCCAGTGTTCTAAGTTGAATAAAGCGTCGCGAGCACTGGTTTCCAAAAAATTCTGAAAAAGCTCACACTATTTTCCAACTCGAGAAATATCAACCGTAACTTTGCGAGCAATTATGCTGAATGTGTATCGCTGCTACTGCACATCCATTCGATCTCCCCGACCAATCCTAGAGTTCTAAGATTTCTAAGTCGAAGTGAGCGCTGCTCGCCGTCGACAAAGTAAATCCGGGGAATTGAGCGGCGGAATAAGTAATTACACTTGGGACATTCGCAAAGTTGTTTCGTTCTAACATTTCTAAGTCGAAGGGACTATTATTTTCTTTACCTCCGCAGCAATATTCAAAATGCCGGTGCCGTCTTGCTATTCGAGAAATGACAACAGTAACTTTGCCGAGCAATTATGCAAACTATCCACCAGTGGTACAACACGATCTGATTTCTACGACCGGTCCTTGAATTCTTACGTTTCTAAGTCGAAAGAAGCACTGCTTTCTTTTATCTCCTAGCAGTATTCAAAATGCTAATGCTGTTTTGAATTCCGGGAAATGGCAACAGTAACTTTGCCAAGCAATTACATTAACTTTGCATCGATATTGCTGCATGTGTCCATTCGATTTCATCGACCAATCCTAGAATTTCCAGTGTTCTAAGTTGAATAAAGCGTCGCTAGCGCTGGTTTCCAAGAAATTCTGAAAAAGCTCACACTATTTTTCAACTCGAGAGATAGCAACAGTAACTTTGCCGAGCAATTACGTTAAGTGTGCATCGTTGTTACTGCAAATCCATTCGATCTCTCCGACCAATTCTAGGGTTTCAAGATTCCAAAGTCGAAGTGAGCGCTGCTCGCCGTCGACAAAGTAAATTCGGGGAATTGAGCGACGGAGTAATTGTACATAATTGGGAGCGTTTGCAAAGTTGTTTCGTTCTTTCGCGATAAAATGAAAAACAATTTTCGTAATAATTACGATAAAATCAAACTTTTCGACATCTCATTGCTTTCGAGATCTCATTGCTTTTGCATTTGTAAAATTACTGAATCAAGTGTATTTTATTAACACTCTTACGAAATTAAATTTTTATGAAAAAGGATACAATTTTCCGAACGATCCTACAAATGGATCTCACAGCTGAGCTTTTTCGTTCTTCGAAGATCGCGATCTGTGTCTTTCTCGACTTTTCTGCGCGTATTTATCGACTCACCGAGGCCCGTCTCGGTCCGGCGATGGCGCAGAGCTGCTTTTCATTTTCCTCCGGTAAAGTTCCGTCACATCGATCCCGATCGTTAACGAACTTACCGATGGGAGATCTTTTCGGAGTCGCTTAACGACCGGCGCACCGCGACCACTGACGGCCCATCCAGACTTCTATTTTTCTTGCTCCGTGTTTCGAGCGCGAGTTAATTACCGATGTTTTGAGAATCGGATCTCCAGCCCCTGACTATAATTTCACGATCAGAGATCCGAAGTTGCATGCTATGCCACGGCATTGTGAGATTCCTGTTGCGCGGATTTCGATAATATATATCGGATTTATATAATATATAATATATATTATTATTGTTGATGTATTAATAATAATTATTATTATTATAATATAATCTGGTAGACATTTGCGTAGTAATCAATGGGTTAATCATTTCATGGGTCAATGTGAACTTAATTTCCTCAAAAATTACCTATTATCACGCGTCGTTCGGAGAGCAAGCATTATATTTAAGGGATTTACGAGCAAAAAATATAAGAAATATTCAGCAGTCATTATTCACTGTCAATAGAACTTCGATATCCCAAAAATTCTGGAGCGGAAACTGTCTGGTACAGCTTGATAAAATGCGCGCTTAATTTGCACATTTATCATCACAGCTAACTGCAGTAATTTTAATCCCTGTTCCATCGAATTGCTGACAAATGGCAGCACAATTCAACGCTGGGAATATTCATATCTCTTGTATCGGTTGTCCTGTATGCCGCTGAAAGTGGGTGGAAAGATGCTCCAATCCCAGTGCCTATGAAGTGATTAACCCACTAGGTGTCTACCAATGGCAAATTTTATGTAACCACCGTTCTCCCTCGATAAAAATCTCAGCACAATCCCCTATTCCGTTTCTTTAACAGCATTTCATCATTCCTATTTGATACCATAAATAGTAATGTCCACGTTGAAAGTTCATCAAAGATCAGTCATTAGATGAAGTTGCTTACGTTCTCCTTCTTACGGCATTTACCACAGACTCGGGTCGAAGGAAGGTTCGTAACGGCAGGAGTGCGACGTGCAGCGGATCTCCATCTGAAAAGCAAATCACAGAAAACCATAAAGAAACAGGCCTGGCCAGCTTGCGACCGGCGAGCCGCGTACGAGTTGTTCCGCTATTGCTCTGCGATCCCTAGAACGACGATGTTATACAGCACGGACACTGTAGACTATGATACTGTATTACGGACTATAGGCAGCGGCAACGTCGTCACGGTGGGGATCGCGGAGTAGTGGGGGAAGGACTCGCAAGCGGACCGCGAGCCGCAAGCTGTCCAGGCCTGATGGAACGTATACTCCGCGCGCGACAAGAAGGCACCTTCGTGCTCGCATTTCCCCCCTCCTACTAGCCGCCCGACCGCCGCAGCTGTCGGTCGCCGCTGATCGGCGGCTCTCGTCGCCGTTCCGGCCAACGGCGACCGATAGCTACGCCGGCGGGGCAGCTGGCGGCAGGGGGGATGTTAACAGGAACGTGCTTTCTCGTCGCGTGAGGACTGTACCAAGTAGCATAGTAAGCGTAGTAATAATGTACAGCTGTATAATGTTATAATCGTTGATGTTTTTTATAACATAATGTTTTATAACATAGTGTTATATTGTCATAATCGCTTCACGCTACGTATATTTTATTATTACGCTATCATTATCGAACTATCAGTTCGTTACGAACGAATCGGCAAGATCATCGAACGCGGAGAAAGGCTTTTCCCGAGAGAAACTGTACTTTCTCCGGCAAATTATTGTTTACTAAATTGTTATTATTATTATTATTGAACAATTCAAACTCAACTTCTCAACAATTCAAACTCAACTTGAACGTGACGTTAATTTTCCGATTTCGATTTCGATTTCAATTCCTGTAATTCGTTTCTCCTTTCGACGGAGACACTGCTAACCGTCAAACGGAGAAGATTTCCTTTAAAACGTAGCGCGGATATTTGGCCAGGTATACATATTTCCAGTTTATAGAATGGTTCGCCGATACTCGTTAGAATAAGAGTTAAGCAATTCAAAGGCTTCGTTCAATTCGAAGGTGTGCAATGCAATCTATTACCATTCATGATTGATAAACTGCTGAAATTTTCATTCAGGCACGAGCAAATAAACTCTACGTTTCGCAAAATGTTCCGGACCGGAACATCGTCTGCTGACGAACCCTCCGTAGACGACAAACGCGCAGCTCCGTTCAGTTCGATCAACCCTTTTTTTTCACAACGTATCGTTTCATTATTATTCGATCTAGTCCGCTTGAATCTTCTCATTGCGCCCCACCGAACAGTTTCGACGACGCGAACAGACCGTCTCGAGGTTAGAACGAAATGCCCACCGAAACGCTGGGTCGAGATCGACCCGTGAGAACGATTTCCCCTGGTTCCGTGTCATTCGTTACGAGCTCGTCGCGAAACGAATGCCAACGATACGCGTCGTACGAAAATAATAAATAAATAAATAATAATAAATTAATTAATAATAACAACAACGATATCCTCGATAAATAAATAACGGGATAATACACGGGAACGCTTACCATCTCTCGACTCTTGCTCGCAATGGGAGGGAGGGGGGGGGGAGTTTCTATGAGATAGAAGAATTTTTTCTATGGCGGACAAACAACTCGCGAATCGCTCGTACAAAACGACGAATGAGAACCGACATGCCAAATTTTGATACACGATTATTCAGCCGGTTTCACGATCGGTTACATTTTCAGACATCGGGTCTAGCTTCTCCAGCCTCTACAGTATACCGTTCGTCCGTCGACAGACATAACCTTAACGTTAGAACCTCCGAAATTACCGACGCGCTCCGTCGTCTCACGCGTTGCCTCGGCGAGACGGGCATTTATTTCAAAGAAATAAATTCCTCGAGAACATCGTTCCCGAAGCAGACGCAGGAAAGAAGCGTCTGTTCGCGGTGGCAACGCGTCGAGAACGCGCGAAAATGAATTTCCATTACAATCTATCAAGCAAGCCGAGAGCAGCAACGCTAGGACCAACAAGGTGTAATAAAAGCAATTGCCGTAATAAATCTTGTCTCCTCCGTTCTTACGCTGTTAAACAAGCCGACGTGATTTCGCGTGACCGTGACGAGCACCGGCGCGGCATGCGAACGTTTTAACGATCGGAAAACAAAAGATTCCATGTGGTTCTAGCGTTAACGCCGACAACGGAGCCCCGGAGCCCGACCGATGGAACCATGTGTTTGTGTCGAAAGTTTTGTGAGAAAGACTGTGAGAATGAGAAAGAAAGAGAGAAAAAGTACGAGGGAGAGAGTGAAAAGAGAGAGAGAGAGAGAAAAGAGAATGAGGGGCGGGGGGGCATCGAACAGCGAAAACGGGACAGAGAAAAGTCCAAAAGACTAGTTTCTTCTCGGCGCACAATCGTCCACGAACGGACCGAAACGATCCGCGAGAATCTCGCGGTCGAGAAAACCAGCGTTACCAGGCTGCCGGCTGGACCGTGACGTCATCGACGCTCGGGTCACGTGAGACGAGGCGGAGAGCGGCGAGTGGGGGAAGGTCGACCGCTAGCGGTGACTAGCGACAGCGTCGCGGCACTGCATTTCGTTCAACCAGAGCAGGTGCACACCTCCTCCGTCGTCGGCGGCGCGAGAATGGACCCGAAAAGCCGAACCGGCCCGAGGTAATCCGAACGCCGGCGACGTCACGGTTCGGCCGACCGCCTGGCACCGCCGCACGGGGCTCGTTTTTCTTCGCGGCTCTCGTCCGCTTCTTTGTCTGTCGCCGCGGAGAACTCTACTCGCGACGTGTTTCAAACAGTTTGCCACCGGAAAGGACAAACGTCGCAGCAAATTAGAATATACGATAAGGTGCGCGAATTTCGTCTCTCTTCGTAAAGCGAAATCCTATTTTTTTTTCGATCAGATCAGACTACCTTGAAAGCTCGAAAAGAAAAAAACGAATGACAGCAAAGTATAAAAAGAAGAGTGACGATGCATACACCAACAAAGAACCTAATTGTACAGCGTATGCTGCACGCATAGAAGCGATTATAAATAGACTGCGGATTCGATGCAATTATGAGAAAAACAGCGAGATACAAAACCGGAAGAACATAAGATAGAACGAAACAAACAAAATGTCGCGTTATTACTTTCGAATAATTCGAATCGTTTAAGAGAACAGATCCGCTTTTTTTCCAGTACGCTCTCAAAACTTTTTCAAATCGACGGAGAACGTTCTTATTTCGCAGAAAATTCCGCAGCCTAATTATAAGAGACCATAGACGAATGAACGACCGAGCCGTTTATTTTCGCGATCGGCGGCTCGTTGACCAGCCAACGGTTCTCGTATCGTCGAGAAAGTTCGCGACCGATGGACGAAATTCGAGCACCTTGTCGACGAGCCTCGGGTCTCGTTCGGCGTTCCGTTCCGGACCGCGGAAAGAAAGTTACGTGTTTACGCGGCGAATCGTAAATTCGTTTAGCGAGTCAACAAAAACGCAGCAGCCCGGAACGCGATACCGGATAACCGTGGTTCTATTGATTTTCTCTGGTAGCGCGCGGCGTGCACGCGTGCGATAGAGATTGCCGCGCTCGGTAGGGTGGAGGGGGGACGCGGCGGTGCGTTGATACGTTATCGATAATTTGGAAATTCGCGCGCGGCGAATTCGGGGATCCTCGCTCGCGACGGCGGCCGAGCTCGCAAACGGCTCGGTTAACACGTTGAATGCCACGGGGGTCACCGGTGACCGGCACTTAACTTGGCGGTGACGCCATGATGGGAGCCATCGGTGACCGGCGCGCCCAAATTGATAGAAATATATATATAATTTCAAACAAATGTGTGAATATCTAAAATTTTGTATTATTACCATCGGCAATTCAAACAGTGACAATTAACATGTCAAACATGGTTATACACTGTAACTTATCTATCGCAGATAATATTTCAACGTTATATGTATCGCATAAAAGAAAATTCATCGTGGCGCCACCGGACAATTTCTAAAACCGGCGTGGCATTCAACGTGTTAACCGAGACGCCTCGGGATTCGCGACGGCCGGCGGCCGAACGTGTTTCGGTTGTCGTCTGCGTAGCTGCGAAAACGCGAACAGACAGTTTCTTCGAGATCTATAGATAGCGACGGGAACGGGCCCGCCGTGCGCTCGCGCGCGCTCGACGTTTATTTAGATGGACACGATTAATATCGACGGAACGGATTATTCAGTTCGCCGACGTTCGGACAACATTCGAGTTCTCAGTCGACTGCATAACGCGCGAGCGCGCGCGATGACAACGCAAGGGGGGTCGGGGGAACCGGCAATATATTTTCTAACGGTGAAAGAACCGCCCCGGCGACGGAAGTCAACGCAGACTGGACGGACGGTGCGTCGCCTCGGTAACTGCTAAACACAGAAATCTACTTCGCTCCCGTAATAGAACATATCCCTCGACTATCGTATAAGAACTCGCCGCGTGTATCTCCTCGAGTGCTTGAAAGCTGCGAGACAGTCGGCCCTGTCGTAGATTTCTGGCGAGACCGCGCGGTCTGCGACGGTTATCGAGGAGGCGCTGCGGTAAATTCCTCCCCCACTGAGGGAACTCGGCTTGGACGCAAGAATGGACAATTCCGGGAGAGGAGATACGATTAATCGAGAGCCTCGCGGCTCGTTCATATATTGGGTTGCCCGGAAAGTTCGTGCCGATTTTTTAGGAAAATTAAAACGCAGCTCATTTAAATATTGGAGCCAAGCTTCGCAGTACGATCGCGGATGGTTGATTTTGATTTATTTAGCATTCCTGCTAATCGACGTAATGTTGAGCGTGGGTTATTCTCGATTTCTGTTCTAATCGTATCTTCGTCTGCGGTGGATGGCCTACCTGGGCGTTCTTGATCTTCAAGGTCGAAATTTCTAGCTTTAAACCGAGCAAACCACTTCCGCACAGTTCTTTCGGCTACGGCATCCTCGCCACAAACAGCGCGTATCTTATTTGCCGCTTGTGTGGCATTTTTGCCCTTTCGGAGAAAGAAAAGCATCAAATGCCTATAATGCACTTTATTTGCCACCATATT